TTATCTATTTGTGTTACGAGCTCCTTGTTAAAACCAATGTTAGGTGAAGAGTAAGAAATGAAATTCATTCATGTACAATTAGACCAGAAAGTAGTTGTAACCCACTGATGCTGAAAACAAAGAACAATCCAGCATCTTTATCTATTTGTGTTACGAGCTCCTTGTTAAAACCAATGTTAGGTGAAGAGTAAGAAATGAAATTCATTCATGTACAATTAGACCAGAAAGTAGTTGTAACCCACTGATGCTGAATATTTTATTTACCAACTTCCTCAAGATTGTTTTTTTCTCTAAAGATCATTAAGTCCTCGTTGTTTACCTTTACCTTGTTACATAACTTGCAGACAAAACATCGCAGCTTGCCACATTGAAATCTCGACAGTTCATCGCGATCTAAGGAGTTGAGACTCAAACTTGGTCACCGTGTTACATTGAAAATGTATTCTTGTTTTGTGTTAAACACATAATAAACTATTAACAGAAAATCATGTTTATTAAGAGGTCATACAGAATATTTTGATACAAAAATAAACATTTATAAAATCAATGAGGCCATTAATATTCCTTTTAGTAAAGTTTCAAATTACAAATATTAATGGGTGTCTGGTAGGTATACAACTTTTGAGTGTTTAAAAAAAGCATTCATTTTAGGAGGAGAGAGAGTATGTCTTAGAATCACAGTCAATTAAACATAAGGACAAAAAACAAAAGTACCCGATGATTTGAATTATCGGTGACTAGAAAAGTGACAATTCTATATTTACAGTTTTGAGAAAAATAAAACTTGCATCTATTAACTGGTCTTCTAGGATTTAAAATTTGAGAAAACGTAGAGTTCTTTGTACATAGACCCTTAACCACACTGGTTTAACATACATATAAGCAACATATAAAAATGTTCATTGACACGTTTGAATACTTTCATCAGTTTCTGCTAACCAGGAACTTGTACATCAGAGAATTACATAAAGATAAATTACAATCAATGTATATAAATTAACTTATATCACAACTTGCAGTAATAAGGAAATCTGCCCAATAAGTAGTTATTTACCACAAATAATTGTTAGATTTTAATATGTGATTAGCTTCTTTGTGAACGTCGTGGTGTTTACCATTTATTGAAATAAAAAAAAGCTACATTCCATTATAAGCTGGACCTCCACCTCCTTCAGGGGTTACCCAATTAATGTTCTGACTTGGATCTTTAATGTCGCAGGTCTTACAGTGGATACAGTTCTGGGCATTAATCTGAAATTTTGTTTCTTTTCCATCTTCAGTTTCTATGTACTCGTAGACACCTAGTACAGAATGATACATTAGTTAAAGTTGACAAATGAATGTAAAGCTACACATCACAAAGTTGTTTGTTATAAAACCCTTTCCTTTAGATGCCACATCAGTGTGTGTGTTTAAACTATCTATTTTATAAAACTTAAGAAGCTTTCATACCTGCTGGACAAAACCTTTGTTCTGGTCCATCGAAAACGGCCAGGTTTTCTTTCACTGGGATCAAATCATCTTTGAGAGTTAAGTGCACAGGCTGGTCTATGTGACTGGTACCAGTGAGAGCAACAGAGGACAATAGGTCAAATGTTATTATTCCATCAGGTTTAGGGTATTCTATTGGTTTACATTCTGAAGCTGGTTTTAATTTCTCGTGGTCAGATCCTTCAAAAACAAGGAAAAACTATACATTCTTATTTTGTTTAAGTCAGGTGATCAAAAAGTGGGTTCACATAAACATCTGTTTAAACTAACAAAGTTAAAAGTTTGGAGACTGCTTGAATGGATAATGAAGAAAACTATTATAAATGTACAACATTTCTACGTGTTGTACATCTGTGATAACGTTTTCTTCATTACCCATTGAAGCTGTCTCCAAACTTTTCTAAAAAGTGGGTTCCTTGCCATCAAATGTAATAGTTATTTGCTGCTTAAGTTAACTGTTTACCTTTCTGGACCAAAGTGTCAGTGACATAGGGGTACCAAATACCCTTTAAATATCACAGTTTGTTTGTACCTATTTTAATATCCTAGATAACACAGTAAAGGGTATGTGTTACCTTAACCAAATACATGAAAACAATTATTACATAGTATTTAGTTTTAGCTTAAACTCATAATTTCACTTGAAGAATACATGAAGAAAACAATTTTTTATGTTCTTGGTATAAAGGTTTCTGTCCATTCCAACTTGTTTAAATGCTGGTAGTTTATTTGTCGATTGCACCAAACATCAGTTCTGTATCCAAATTGTAAAATGACAATGATTTATCAGTAATCTAGTACAGTGTTTCTCTATCACCACCAGTCCATGAGATTTGATGAAAACAACCAAACTAAACTGACGGAATATGTATGTGTAAATAATGATGGCTTTTAGGGAGGATGAGAATTGCAAACTTAACACGTTTCAAAACATCGGATCATACTAGGCGACAATATTACTGGTCAGATCAGTTGACATTCGTTAGGAGTTTTGCCATCATTAAACCTATGTTTACCTGAAGTTGTAAAAGAAAAAAGTTAACACGAAAACTTTTAAAGTTCTAGAGTCTTCTTTTCCCACAAAATCATGAATTATTTCTGAATATTACTGGTCAGATCAGTTGACATTCGTTAGGAGTTTTGCCATCATTAAACCTATGTTTACCTGAAGTTGTAAAAGAAAAAAGTTAACACGAAAACTTTTAAAGTTCTAGAGTCTTCTTTTCCCACAAAATCATGAATTATTTCTGGTCAGATCAGTTGACATTCGTTAGGAGTTTTGCCATCATTAAACCTATGTTTACCTGAAGATGTAAAAGAAAAAAGTTAACACGAAAACTTTTAAAGTTCTAGAGTCTTCTTTTCTCACAAAATCATGAATTATTTCTCACGCCAATGTGGACGTACTTCATAATTTCATTAATACTTCACAGTACATGCTGTGAGATCATAAAATGGGTGTGTCATGAGAAACAAAACATGCATAATTATATTCAACAAGGAATAATTTCTTAATAAATACAAACCTTCGGGATGGGCAGAAATATTCCGAAATACCTGATAAATGCAAAATTTCTTTGTGAATAACACTAAATGGCACAATAGTGATTCTAAAAATTGTTTAAATAAAACCTATTATCAATGTTCACGACAAGAGTTATTAAGCAGACTTTTCTTCTAATCTAACTTTTGATCCTGACCCCAGGGAATCTATCTTACTTAAACTGCAACATATTGCATTGTAATTAGTAGCTGTATCTTGAAGCCCAATCCTCAAGTGTTTTCATTAGCTAGCAACATCTGTGATATACACTAAAGTTAAATATTCTGATGTGGGAATGTTCGTGATGCTATGGGACGGAGGATTTGAACCCGACATAATACATATACTTACCACCATGAGAAAGTGTCCATGGTTCTTTGCCTCGGAACAGCACGTAGAAAATAGCACCATATGCCAAAGTACCATATACTCCAAGTGGAGTATGGGAAGATGGGCGAATGTTTCGGACAGATGTTAATTCTTCCCAAACCCAGCTCTGGCGAATTTTTTCTTCATAAATCTTGGGATTAAGACCTATATATATATATATAAAAACAAAAACTACAGGATGATCTTTATTAATAAACCTGAATTTCTACTGTAAAGTAGAATGTTACAAACCTTTTAGTTAGTTATATACTACTATAAAATACATGCAGTTTTTGTCAATGTTTAACAACTGGATTTCAGTGTGTATTAACCATGATTGTGCTATCAAATACGAGAAATAACTACATAGCAGTGGTTTACAACCTTTTCACCACCAAGGACCCCTTTATTGTTATTATTTTCCCCCCAAAGACCCCATGTTTTTGAAAGATTCCGTCTACCCAACAAACTGTTTTTATTAACTAATAATTAACTCGTCTCAGCTATTTACATGTTATTATTTGGTGTCCTTCCATGCATTATTCAATTAAAGAAAATAGTTCACAAACCCCCAGTATTACCTTCGCTGACCACAAACCCCAAGTATTACCTTCGCTGACCACAAACCCCCAGTGTTACCTTCGCTGACCACAAACCCCAAGTATTACCTTCGCTGACCACAAACCCCCAGTATTACCTTCGCTGACCACAAACCCCCACTATTACCTTCGCTAACCCGAGGTTGGGAACCACTGTCACAAACCCCCAGTATTACCTTTGCTGACCCCAGGTTGGGAACCACTGTCACAAACCCCCAGTATTACCTTCGCTGACCACAAACCCCCAGTATTACCTTTGCTGACCCCAGGTTGGGAACCACTATTATATTAAATGAGTAATTTCTTCACTGTATAAGTAAAATTGGTTTTTGTTTGTAATATCAGAGTCTGTGTATTTTGTTGTATGAACACAAATTAATAAGAACCTGTAATTAAAAACACATTTACTTTCTGATATTATTAATCTTGGGGTAATTACTGCTCGTTAGTGGGAACTGTACTGCTTACCCTGGGTTGGTGTAGACCCTCCTTCGTACATAGTTTCAATGACACTCTCTGCAGCTAGCATTGCACTCTTCATTGCATTGTGTGTTCCTTTAATTTTTGTAACATTCATAAAGCCAGGACTGCAGCCCACTAAACAACCACCGGGAAAAGTTAATTTTGGAATACTCTGAAACAAACAGCACACTGGAAATTATAATAAAGTTTCACACATAGCTACAACTGGTGTAAATAAATGCACAAAATATAGAGACATTAACAAGAAGAAAAAAAGATTGGATGAATATTATACTGCTTACTACTGTTACGGCTGTAAAAAACCTTTACCTAACAACTCAATACAGTCATTAATGCTGTATAAAACCTTTACCTAACAACTCAATACGATCATTACTGCTGTATCAAACCTTTACCTAACAACTCAATACGATCATTACTGCTGTATCAAACCTTTACCTAACAACTCAATACGATCATTACTGCTGTATCAAACCTTTACCTAACAACTCAATAC